CGGCCTACCGAAATTTCACCAAGAGCACATCAACAGATCATCCAGGAGGATCTAAAGAACTGCAGGCCCCACTTGCCTCAGTTAAGGTTAGGTCATCTAGTCGACCCCCAAGGCTTTTGGGATGATATTCTGTAGACTGATTTGTCAACGGTGGAACCTTTTTGGAAGACATAGTTCCTGTTCCATCTGGCATATAGCTAACACCACATTCTACCATAAGAACATCATACCAACAGTCAAACATAAATGGTGGTATTGTGATGGTCTGGGGTTGCTTTGCTTCTGCAGGACCTGGATGAACCATGAATTTTGCTCTCTATCAGAAAATCCCAAAGGAGAATGTTCGCCTGTCAGTGTGTGACCTGATCTGAATCTCATTTAGATGCTGTGGTGGGACATTAAAACAGACAATTCATGCTCAAAAATCTCCTATATAGCTGAATTAGAATCAAGTTAAATTCTACAAATAAGAGTGAGTTCCTCCACGACAAGCATCCAATTGCAGTTGTTATTGTCAAGGGTAACAACCAGTTTTGGTTTAGGGGCAATTACTATTTCACATGGGTGATGGAGGTTTTGAATAAATCTGTACCTTCACTAAATGTAATAATAATGTACCTTTCTTTCTGATGGTGTACTGACTAATTTTAACTGACACAGTAGATAGAAAAAAAATCTAGTGATCTAAACACACACACATAAATGTCAAATTTTGATAGATTACATTTTATGTAGAGAACATTCTCTTTCATAAACATGAAATAAAAATATTCTGTAGTAAAGAAAGCATCTTACCATTCTGTATCGAGGCTCAACTCCAATGTCCAGATGATAAATGCTAAGAACAGAGTCAGCACTGAAATGTAAAACTAGGTGTGGTCAACATGTGTATCTATAAGCTACTGCTCTTGGTTGAAATACCCAGTTATAAATATGCATCTTCCTGTCAACGACTGAAAGTGACTTTCTTGGTCATAGCAAGAGATAAAGTTCATCTTAAACTCCTGCAAAGTCTGAATTATCTCTCAGTGTCTGATATTAAAGTTTTTTAAACTTATATATGTAAAGGACTTACATTTCTAACAATAAAGCTTATTATGTGTTCCATAGAGAGCAATGGCTGTTCCAGCTTGCAGGACTTTATCCAGTTCCTCCTCTTCTCCTGCTACTGTATGAAGCAGTAATGATCACTGGTGTGTTTATCAGTGCTGATCTCAGTACAGTGTTACCCAGCTGATAGAATAAACATCATCAGATCATCTGAGGAACAGACTGTGCCCTGGTGCATGTTTCAATACCAGCTGTTCAATTACTATATAATCGCAAGTGAAGTTTATTAAGAGAGATCTCAGATGGGCGAGGGTCAGTGAGGGGCAGCAAAATATGCCCTTAAATCATTGCAACCGAAAGCATTTCATTTTTCAAACCTGAAGAAAAAATGTGGGCAAAGCTGTTTTTAAGCCACCTCAATAAAATAGAATGCTTACTGTTTTTACACCACAGCTTTGAGTTTACTGTACTCACAGTGATCCATGTATAAAACTACTCCATCTGTTATAACTGACTGATGATGCAGCTTCATTACTTTACTCTGCTAACTTGATAGGTAGTGAACTAAAGGTTACACAGCGAGCAAGAACAAAAATAAACACATTGCACCACGGTTCTAAAGAAAAGTAGCACTTAAGGTCATCACTGGCCTCTGGACTGTCTGTCTGCAGTGTGTGAGTAAACAGGAAGGGGATGCTGTTTTATCTGCTGTGTGCAGTTAGAAACTTAAACTGTCTTCACGTCCTCATGCAGTCACACACTTTCATTAGACTGTAGAGAACACAGAAGCGTATAATGCTGATGTACTTAAAGAAAAATCTATAGAATCTATAAAAAATACAAACCAATCACTTATACAATTAAAGTATATAAAACATATCACCTACATCATTTGAAAACAGTGGTGAGTGGATGACCTGCTTATACAAACATTTTTTCTTTTTTGGGCTTATTTCAGCCAATTTTTTTTCTGTTTATTTTTATTTATTTATTTACTTTTCATTTGTGAAAAGAATCAGCCTTCCATATCAGGTCTGGACTGCAGACAGGCCAGTTTAACACCTGGACTCTTTCACTATAGAGCCATGCTGTTATAATATGTGCAGAATGTGGTTTGGCATTGTTAGGTCCCCCCCTGAAAAAAGATCTCATCTGGATGGCAGCACATGTTGCTCCAAAATGTCAATCATTCAGCATTAATGGTGCCTTTACAGATGTGCAATTCACCCATGCCTTGTGCACTAATGCACCAGTGTGCATAGTGTCACACATACTGACTTTTGAACTGAACTTACCGTGCCTGGTAAACCTCCACAGGGAGGCGGCCAGGGGCATCCAGATCAATGCCCAAACCACATTAACTGGCTCCTCAAATGTGGAGGTGTAGTGGCTATACATTGAGCTCCTTCTGGATGTCCAAGCTCCTCACTCAATCAAGTACAGTGTAGCCTGCCACCTTGCCGCTTGTATCCATGATCTCATTCTTTTGGTCATTACCCAAAAACTCATGACAACAGATGAGGTTTGGGATGTAGACCAACCATTAAACAGAGCTTTGTCTTATGGCTCAGCTCCCTTTTCACCACTAGAGTCATTATAGCAATCACGTTACTTCTGCCACCTGTCTCAGCCTATGGCCAATCTCACGACCCCTTCTTCCCATCACTCGTGAACTTGTGAATTAATGCTGAGTATGTGGACACAAGTCTCACTCCCCGAGTACAGGCCCTGGCACCCCATACTTCCAGAGGATCTCTCACAGGATATCTTGGGGAACACGTCCTTAAGCATTTCTGGGTGAATCTCATCCACTTCTTGTGTCTTGACACCAAGGAGCTTGCCAACTACCTCAATGACCTCCACAAGGGGAATGGAGACTGACACCCCAGAAGCCTCTGGCCCGGACTCCCATGATGGAGGCATGTCTCTCGGGTTTAGGAATTCCTCAAAGTACTCCTTCCACCGTAGGACATTTTTCCACTTCACCTCAGTCCATCTTAAATGAGCTTGGGCCCAGAGAAGGCAATGACATTTCTGGATCTTGTTTATATATGATTTCTTCATTGCATGGTAATGTTTTAACTTGAATTCACATAAAATGTTTTTCAGAAGTGTAACAGAGCCCACACAATGATTTGCACTTCATCATGTCAGTTTTTCATGCAGTGTGGCCTGAGCGCCTGAAGACCATGGACATCCAAAATTGGTTTTGACCTTGTCCCTTGCATACAGAGATTCGTCCAGATTCTCTCAATCTTTTACTAATATTATGTACCATAGATGATGAAATCCCCAAGATCTTTGCCTTTTTACATTAAAGATAACTTAATCTGAATGTGCAAAACTTTTATTTCTGAATTGTTACACTATTTATCCACATTCAGTACCCTACCTACAGTCTTTCACAGAGTGATGAACCCCTCCCCATCTTTACTTCTGAAAGATTCAGCCTGTATGCAATGCTCTTTTTATAGCTTAAAATATTTTAAAATATATTAACTTGTTGCAAGTTAATTCAATAATTTGTGAGTTTTTCCACCAGACTTTTTTTAGCATTACACAACTTTACCAGCCTTTTGTCCCAACTTTTTTGAAATGTGATGATGGCATCAAATTCAACATGGGCATATATTTTTCAAAAAAGTGAAGTTTCTCAGTTTCAACATTTGATACTTAGTCTTTGTATTATTTTCATGTAAATATAGAGTGTAAATGATTTGCACATCAATGCATTCTGTTTTTCTACCATGCCCCAGCTTGGCTTGTACAACATTTAAGTAGCTCTTACCACGAGTCCACAGCAGTACCTGATTGTTAGACAGAGGTATTTGAACTAACCAATGAAACTCAATGACTAACACTGATCCCTCAGGTAATGAACTCTAACTCTCCACTCTCTCTAATGCTAATGCAGCAGTCACCTCCGGAGCACTGCAGAACCTGCAGAGTTTAGTTCTACTATACAACACCTGATACAGTCTTCTGTAGCAGATCAATGACTTTCAGCCTATTTTTCCATGTTACATATTTAAAAATGTCACATGTAGCACATTAGCAGGTCACACTTAGTGTTATGTTGGGATCATTCTGGCATAAACTAGACAAATTGCTATACCATTGGTCTCAGTATAACATCAAGAACTGTTGTCAGTTACTAATGAATTCACACATTGTAAATTGGTGAAATTAATCTGATGGGGTTTAAATAATGTAAATCAATGAACTACAAATGAGAGTTTCTTTAATGAAGAAGTCTTTATTTACAGAAATCCAACAAACTTTCAATTTCTCTAAAATGCTTAAAAATAAAATGAATAAATCCCCAGAAAAATATATTTCTGAAAAAAATAAATAAATAAAGCTGTTATGGGACAGCAGGGAGGCGGACCCAAGTGCCAAGAAGAAAACTCATAAGAAAGGGTGTTAAATGATTTTTTTCAGGTGATCGTGTGTAAATTGGATGATTATGCACATGGGGGTTAAGGTGGCTCAGAGTCAGGCCGATGTAGTGACTGCCAAGAGAACGCTGTAAGCAAAGGCTGAGATAGAAAAGTTAAATAAAAATAATCAGAAAACAAACAAACAAAAAAGCACACTTCCTCTGTGATTATGAGAGGAAGGTCAACTTTATGTTTCGCCTGTTTGCTCTTTGTGGAGCAAACACTTTTGTTAGGCTTGGAGCCGTTTCTTGTTTAAGCCTCTTTTTTGGCTTTTAAGTAGTTTTGAGGCAATTTCTCTCTTTAGTTTCTCAAACCCTCTTTTCTTTTCTTGTCGTTTAACAAGAAACCCACTTGGGAAAAGTACTATATGGGTCACCCCTCTACAAAAGTGTGACAAAGCCTTGCTGTTTGCCACAGCCTTAAGTAGAGGAGTCCACAGGTGTCCCAGTTTGGACATAATCAGCCCGAGGGCTTCTGGGAATTGGAGTTCCCTGAAATTGTGGTGCCTCACTACTGTCGCCCTCTGCTGGCAGCTGGCGGCACAGGCTGGGCCCTTACAAAAGCACAGCAAGAAAATGATTACTAAATAAAACATGGCCTACTTCATAAGTTTTGCACATACAGATTAAGTTAAAAAAGATAATTGGAGGCAAATGAAGATTAATGTTTCATATACATCTAATCCAACTACAGATATGATAACTTGAAACTATATTAAACTCTAAAGTTTTAATCCTCTTTACTATGGTTCAGTTTTAGGTACAGTAACAACAAAGATCAACAGCTCAACACTTCAAGAGTCCATCCATACCAATGCTCTCTCTCTCTCTCTCTCTCTCTCTCTCTCTCTCTCTGTATAGCAGTTCTCAGCAGATCTAATCTTTTCTTACTGTGCTGTAAATCACTGAGGAATCTTCCACATTCTGAGTTGGTGACCTACAAAAGTCAGAAGGTGAAACTTTAACCTTTAACCTCTAAAAAAAGAGGTGCAAAATATGTTTATAACAACAAACGACAACTTCACATTTTCCCATCTTTAATAAAGATGTTCTCCACTACACTACATTTATTTAACAACACAAACACTGTTTTTATCCAGCAGATGATGCTGAGATGAGAACTGAATTATTCAAACAGTCCAGAGACCTTTTTCTGACAAAACAGCAGCTGCACCTGAAACAAAGTTCTGCCTCTGAAATTTCACTGAAAATCCAAATGCTTTTTCTAACACTGTTAAACTGGTCACAGTGCTGAGTTCAGCTCTGCTGATATTGAACAATAACTAGCATGAACATATAAATACAATTTGTGAAAATAAATTAGTCGTAAGCAGCCAGTTATATACAGCTCCTAATTTGTTTAAGTCTTATTAAAGATTTTATATGTAGTGTTTAAAACCTAAACTTTTGGGTTTATCATGTATACAGAGAAACTGAAATTAAATATACACATCATTATCACTATTTAAATATGACATTTCTTGCTGAGAAGACTTATTAAAGATTTAAAATGCCCAAGAAACACAACATGCATGATTAAATTAGGCCCTGTGAATAATATCTGAATGTCTACATGTACTTCACCAGAATTTCTCTTAGTCTTAGGTGCAGGTTACATAATCAGGCTTATCACTCTCAGCATTTTCACATAGTCCTGAAGTAAGATTTGTACAACCAAATATAACATTGGAAATCCCACAAAGGTGCTTACAGAACTGACCAGCATGTGTGTCTATGCCTTCAATTTCTGATTGTTAATGTTTGTCTGGGCATCTTTATATAAAAGCTCCATGTAACTCACCCAGTAGCAGCAGTGTGGTGATGGAATGTAACACTGGCATATTGGGGCTCCCCCTGCTGGTCAGTGCTGGTTAGTACATCATTCTGAATTCTGACTGTAGCGTCAGCAGCTCCAGAGTCACTAGAAGCAGCAGCCTGTACAGGGCTGGATCTGCTGTGTGTAACGGTGGTGTAGAGGACATCATCCTGAGAGGGAAACATTCATGGAGAACAGTTTAAATGTCTAATGTTCTGAAAATGAGGCAGAAGGGACTCGTATCTTACAAACACTTTCATGAAGTGATCCAAGTTTGAATGCTCTTTCCTGTGTTTCTCATACATGAAACAGATATAACCTACAAGAGAAATTGTCCCCTTCTAGTGTACAGCATTACTTTATATGGTCTTTTCAATTGTAGCCATCTTACCTGTTTTATCTTTCTGTGATCAGTTCCAGTGGCTCCTTTCTTCATCCTGTAGAAACAGAATAATTATCTGTTTTATCTGTTATTACATTGTTACTAGCCCAAAGAAGTCATTTTGTTTCACTGTAGGGAGATGTGTGCTATATATTACTGACACGCAGATGCAGATTAAGACATTGATGAGGACAAAGCTTCCTCCTCCCACTGCAATCCAAACTGCAGACACTCTGTCTGCAGAAAATATAATTTAGAAATAATTTAGACCTGCAGAAAATATAATTTAGTCCTTTATCTATTTCATTATTTTAAAATTGGACAATGAAATACAGCATTTTTCTTATTATTCACCACCTACTCTGAACAGTGACCATCACAGTTCCATTTTGGGCTCCATGTTCATTCTGAACTTCACAGTAGTACAGTCCAGTGTGGTCAGCAGTGATGCTGATGATGCTGTAATTCTGTCCGGATCCTACAGGTGAGGTTCCACCTTCTTTAAACCAGGTGTAGTTCTTCACAGGTGGGTTTGCATCACTGCTGCAGGTCAGAGTCACTGAACTGCCCTCCACTATTTCACCAGAGGGACTGATGGACACTGAGACGCTCTTTGGAGGGTCTACAGATAGATATGATAGGATCACTTTAAAGTCAGTAGTCTTTAGTAATCACATTAATTACACGTTTACTTTACATAAGTAAAAGTCCTCAATACTTGAGGTTTACCAAGTAAGATCTGACCCATAATTAAATTTCTCTAAATATTGCTAAGTAATTTGACATTGATTTGCTTTCTAGAAAATAACAAACACATAAACTGTTAAACTCACATCTGACTCTGAGGTTGTGTGCAGTAGAGTTGAGATGTTCATATCCTCTTACAGCACAGCTATAACTGCCTGCATCCTCACTGCTGACTGTCTGCAGGTGGAGCTGGTTGTTCTTGATCTTTGTGGTTAAAGAATGTCCATTTTTGTACCAGATGAATGTTGGGTCAGTCAGACTGCAGGTGGTTCTACATGTCAGATCTGCTGTTTCTCCCTCTGTCACTTCTTCAGGAGTTTCCACATGGAGCTCTAAGACAATAAGAGGACTATCAGGTTAGGACAGTATAGCTGTAAAGTCAGGGACCCTTATTCATCAAAGTTAGAAATGAGTGCAGATTTAACTGTCCTGAATCAAGCAAGATATACTTTGAACTATAGTAGGGAAACAATCAAGCACCTTATTTACATATTAGTTGTAACTGGCATTACCCCAGTTTGCCCTCATTAACATGTAATTTACGTAAAGTGCACCTTTATTCCTTTAAGATAATTGGAGAAACATCAGAGAGAAAAGCTATAAAGTCAGTGTCTCTTACTCATCAGAGTTGAACAGATTTGGCCTTCATTTTTTTCCATTATGAAACTCTTGCTAACTTCATATACATATAATTTACACGAAGCACACACTAATTAATGCAGGTGTTTTGATAGTGAGCCACCCAAAAAAAAAGTATGCAGCAGGCACATGAAACATAATAGGGGGAGTTTGAGGTCAAGCAGGAGTTGTACTGCTCCCTCTACTGGCCAACGGTGAAATTTGGGTTTTGTTTTAAAATTATTACATGACTGAAAAGAAAATTCCTAAATGATTGAAGGGAATACAATATAAAAATCATAAAATGTAGCATTTTGTCAGATGGTAATGATGGTGTGAGTGTATGTTCTGGCTAGGATAATGTGGCAGGACCCCTTCAAAGATGGAGAAGACCCCTTCAAAGATGGCCTAATTTATTATTTTTATTATTATTTATTATTATTATTTTAAAATTGTGCTTGTGCTTAAACTCAATGCAAGTATTACAGTACTATTCTTGTTTCTTTATAGAGTTTAGAATGTAAAAAGGGATATATTATTGAAATACTGAAATGAAAAGGTATATGAGGTAGATCTTAATGTACTAGGTAAGCTATATTTTGCATTTTAGAGATGGAGTTATTTACTTTGTCAGTAATATGAAGCAAAACACTTTAAATAAACTTCATAGTTGTATCGTTTGTTTTTATCAATGTACATATAAAAAAGGTTGTTGTGTACTTCAGTATAAGGACTGCTGTTTACACGGTTATTAGAATTCTGAATATTATTTTCTATTGTTACTGTTATTGCAGTATTTTCCAATCAGATTTGATTGGACTCCAAAGAGTTTTTGTAAATGTCCAATGAGTGAACCAACAAAATAGGGGAAACATATAGTTAGGTACATATTTATATATCATCACTGACAGGCAAAAGTCCTGTATCTCCATTTTTGCCATTGTTGATTTCTTTTTCTAATTCACTATCCCGAATTTCCTTTTAGGACTCATTAGTACAGTTTTAGAACGGTTTAAATCATATTTTGTTAATAGACAGTTCAGATCATTCATAAACACAATTACTATGGAGTCCCACAAGGTTCGGTTTTAGGGCCTTTAGGGCATTAGAGAAATATTGCTAAAGTTCTGTTTTTTCTATCTCAAAGCAATGCAGAAATACTTGTTAATGTCTTTGTTACAGGTACAGTTGATTATTGCAATACTCTTCTGACTGGCCTCCCTAAAAATACAGTATATCCTCTACAACTCTTTAAAAAGTTAATATTTTCTATGACATATGGTCAAAAACAAAATTAGCAGATCAACTGAATCAGGTGTAAGAACAGATAAAATGATATAGGAGTGAATCAGAACAGAAGCTGAACATCATTAGAGCAGATTAATAAAATCAGCGATGAAAATCAACATGAATATTCAGAGCAGTCATAAATAAGAAACATTACTCTGAAACCAGAGCTGTGTCTTATAGCTGGATAATGGGATGAATAACTCACCTGTAACATTCAGCTGAACTCCAGGTTTACCCATCCATTTGTCCTTATGTACATTTGATATGATTCTGAAGCAATACTGTTTTTCATCCTCCTTCATTACATCACTCAGTTTGAGGGAGAATTGTTTCTGTTCACCAGTGAAATACTTGGCTCTGCCTGAGTAATCTGGGTTTTTACTCAGATCAGTTGGTTTCACCTTTGGAACTGGATCTATGATCCAAAAAGTCTCATTCACTGTTAGACCACCTGGGTGAGTAAAAGTTCCATTTATAAACACTGTGGATCCTTTTAAAGCACATATTTCCTGTTGGTTGTACTTCACACTCCACTCTGTTCCAAAAGCTCCTGAAACATATGATGCATGAAAGAGCTGATTACAGAGTCTGGAGCTCATAAGACAGTCAGTGTTACTGTAGCTTACAGCTTCACTTCTCTCCTCTCTAACTCCAGCAGCTCCTCTACAACACTGAGCTGATTCTGAGAGAAACCACAAACCACAACAAACACTGACTCACCGACAATCATGAGCAGGAAGATCAGAGGAAGAGGAGGAGCCATTCTCAATGACCTCATCACAGTTGCCTGTAGGATTTTATGACATTATGAATTAAATGTTTCCACATCTTCATCCAAAGTCCTGAAGAAGTCCAAAGATTTAAATGCTTCCTCTATAATGAAGTCTAATGTATATTGAAGTGTTTTATTTAATCAATCCTTCATTTTTTCATAGTATCAAGTTATGATTACCTGACTTTGAGAAACAAAAACTTATTAGAATTTATTATAATGTCATAAACAGCTATTAAAAATGAGATATCTGAGTATTTATGACCAGCAGGCTCTGTGCAAAGGAAGGTCTATACTGAGCAACATGGAGGACCTTCTTCATTCAGAGCTATTCTTCCCCCACAGTGCAGATTTAAGGCGTCTCATTTTGTTTCTCAGGCAATAGCAGATCTTGATATGTATTTTATTTGCAATGTATTTGTTTTTATATGTAATTTATTTTGTGTAGCGTGAACATGTGCACTATGTTTTCAAAAGTATTCAGTCACCCATCCAAATCATTCAATTCTGGTGTTCCGATCACTTCCATGGCCGCAGGTGTATAAAACCAAGCACCTAGTTATGCAGACTGCTTCTACAAGCATTTGTGAAAGAATGGGTCACTCTCAGGAGCTCATGTGAATGCCAGCGTGGTACCTTGATAGGACGCCACCTGCGCAAGTCCAGTCATGAAATTTCCTCACTACTAAATATTGCACAGTCAACTGTCAGTGGTATTATAACAAAGTGGAAGCGATTGGAAATGACAGCAACTCAGCCAAGAAGTGGTAGGCCACATAAAATGACAGAGTGGAGTCAGCAGATGCTGAGGCACATAGTGCACAGAGGTCGCCAACTTTCTGCAGAGTCAATCACTACAGACCTCCAAACTTCATGTGGCCTTCAGATTAGCTCAAGAACAGCATAGAGAGCTTCATGGAATGGCTTTCCATTGTTGAGCAGCTGCAACCAAGGCTTACATCACCAAGTGCAATGCAAAGCGTCGAACACAGTGGTGTAAAGCGCCGCCACTGGACTGCAGTGGAGGTATGTTCTCTGGAGTGACGAATCACACTTCTCTGTCTGGCAATTCAATGGACGAGTCTGGGTTTGGCGGTTGCCAGGAGAATGGTACTTGTCTGACTGCATTGTGCCAAGTGTAAAGTTTGGTGGAGGGGGGATTATGGTGTGGGGTTGTTTTTCAGGAGTTGGGCTCAGCCCCTTAGTTCCAGTGAAAGAAATTCGTAATGCTTCAGACCAATAGATTTTGGAGAATTTCATGCTCCCAACTTTGTGGGAACAGTTTGGGGACGGCCCCTTCCTGTTCCAACATGACTGCACACCAGCGCACAAAGGTCCATAAAGACATGGATGAGCAAGTTTGTTATGGAAGAACCTGACTAGCCTGCACAGAGTCCTGACCTCAACCCGATAGAACAACTTTGGGATGAATTAGAGCGGAGACTGTGAGCCAGGCGTTTTTCATCCAACATCAGTGTCTGACCTCACAAATGCACTTCTGGAAGAATGGTCAAAAATTCCCGTAAACACTCCTAAACCTTGTGGAAAGCCTTCCCGGAAGAGTTGAAGCTGTTATATCTGCAAAAGGTGGGCCAACATCATATTAAACCCTATGGATTAAGAATGGGATCTCTCTCAATTTCATATGCCTGTGCAGGCAGATGAGTGAATACTTTTGGAAACATAGTATATGTTCTCCAGGCTTTTCACCAAAACAAGCCCACATGAGTCAACAAACTGCACTTCTTTCAAACTGAAATGGTAGAAACATCAATCTAAACACAAATAACCAAATATGTACCGTAACTTTCTAACAAACTATTACCAATTTTTGGAATTAAAGAAAACATCTTACCGCTCTGTAACAAGGCTCATCTGCAATGTCCAGATGATAAATGGCGAAAACAGCGACAGCACTGAGATGTTCAACTACGTGTGGTTAACACATTTAACTCTAACCTGCTGCACTCTGTTCACATGCCCGGGTTCATGTACATGCTTCTTCCTGTAAAAGACTGCAAGTGACCTTCTTAGTCGCAGCAAGAGATGAACTCTATTTTAAACTTCTGCATAGTCTGAATAATCTATCAGTGTTTAATACAAAATTTCTTTTATTTCTTCATTATATATATAGTGACGTAGAACTTTAACCAGTTCCATCTCTTAATTACAACTTCATAATTACTGTATGAAGAAGTAATGATCACTGGTGTGTTTATCAGTGCTGATCTCAGTACAGTGTTACCCAGCTGATAGAATAAACATCATCAGATCATCTTAAGAATGGACAAAGATCAGGATCTGCTTCCACAGCAGCAGCTGTGATGTGTCATGTCATGAGTGCTCATCCCTCCTCCTCTTTCTTTTAAATGGAAATTCTGTTCTGCAACCCATAATATTTCTATTATTTACAACATGAATCATTTCTCTTGAGTGTTTTAGAGTAAATAATTAACCAAATCTTTAATTCTCTTTGTATTTTCTGATACAAAGGATTGTATGTTAAAAATAATGATTTGCCATTCTACACTTTTACAGCCAAATAAAACTCATATTAGAAGTTTTTACCTCTTAAAGCAGATCTCAGTTCAGAGTGTACTCAGGTTCTTGTGTTAGTATATGAAGAAGGAGTAACTAACCACATTGAGGCTTGGAAATGATGTCATTTCCTTTAAGGCCATGAAATCAACCCCAGTGACAGATTCTTATCTTGCTTCTTTAAACTGACACAAGCAGACGCACAGTCATAAAGAGTAATCCACTTCAAGAAACACAAAAAATGACAAATACTCCTCTCAAATGAAACACTGTGCTGAAAGACCATTGATGAATGAGAATCACGCTGAGTGGAAGGATAAAAATCATTTTTTTGAAATCTACTTTGATAAAATGCACAGTGTATGTATCCAAAATTGTATTTGTCTCTCCCTCTCTATAGTAATGAAGAATTTCTAATGAAAATGCAAATTACATTGTTTCCATCACTCAACCTTTTTGTTAGTTTTGGTGTTCAGCCACTGTTTCAATGAGCGAACATGGCAATGCAGACATTGCTTTTCATCCATCCACTTCATAAGGCATTGTCTGTGCATATAAGCACAAGAAAGACTGTAGAGATGGTGATGGATTTCAGATGTAACCCTTCCCCCAATGTAAATAGCTCTGTGGTTTCCACAATGAATTCACTCCAGTTCCTGGCCACCACCATATCCAGAGATTTGAAATGGGAGATGTCATCCTGTATATTGTGTATATAATAGTTATTATATGTCTTCTCAGAATTGCATATGTATAGACACAATATGGACAAAGATATTGGGACACCTCTCTCAATCATTGAATTCAGGTGTTTCATTCAGTCCCATTGCCACAGTTGTATGAAGTCAAGCAACTATCTATGTAGTCTGCCTTTACACACATTGTTGAAAAAAATGGGTTGTTCTAAAGTACTAGTACTAGGATAGGATGCCATTGTTGCAGTTTGCGAAATTTCTTCCCTCCTAGATATTCCCAGATCCACTGTGAGTCGTATTATTGAAAAGTGAAAGCGTTTAGGAACCACAGCAACTCAGCCACAAAGTGTCAGACCACATAAAGTTACAGAGCGGATCGCAGAGTGCTGAGGAGCATAGAGCATACAAGTTGCAATGCTCTGCTGATCAATAACGGCAGAGTTCAAACCTCCTCTGGCTTTAACATCAGCACAAAAACTGCCACTGGGAGCTTCATGGCAGGGTTTCCATGGCTGAGCAGGTACATGCAAGCCTTACATCACTGAGCCCAATGCCAAGTGTTGGATGGAGTGGTGTAAAGCACCGCCACTGGACTCTGGAGCAGTGGAAACAAATCAGGCTTCTCTCTGTGTCTGATGGACGAGTCTGTGCATGACGAGTGCTTGTTGTGTAATAAATAAAGCAATTGTGATTCTGATGACTTGCTCATCACTCCATTGCATAATGTGACACCAGTTTAAGCCGACTAGGCCTAACAAGGCCTCACACAGTTTGGGCCTTATTTACAGAGAAAGGATGAAAAATGCAAGGAAGTCAGAGCTTATCAAAAGGCCTTTATTTGCCATAATTATTGATTAGTGGTCTTTAAACATGATACATGCTTCATGTTATTTGTAAAAAAAGCTACTGAGCTTTGTGGAACATGCAAGAGATTTTCAATACAGATGTTTAAAAATACATGATGATAAATTACTAATGATACTAATGAATTTCTGTCATAGTTTTTTGTAAAGCGGTTTGCTTCCCATTGCACCCATAATGGCCCATTTTGGTATAGAGGAGCTGAGTGAAAGTGGCTTAGAATTTGTCAAAACGTTTCCATATGTTATGATTATTGATCATGGACCTTCCCAAAGATGTTCACCAAGTTTTGTTCAGATTGACCTTTTGACCTTTGTATTATACGATGTAGTCTTTGAATGAACAAGTTAAAATACCAGACAAGGAGTCTAATTTATATAAAACATAACATGTAATTACAGAGTTATTTAGGGCACTGAACTGAAAAACATGGCATCATTTTTTAAATCTGTTGACTTTGTAATAACATTGTAGTAGCATTTTTTATGATTTTCTGTGTTTTTGAGTCCTAAAGTGCCCCCTAAAGGCCAACCTGGTCCAGCTTTTGCAGACCTCACCAGAGTCTCAGTATATACAAATATTGACAATTTTGAGATTATGTGACCAATGACTGATGATTTCTAGAAATTTAAGCCAGCAGTGCCCTGGCCGCAATGATTAATTCACAGAGAGAGACCATGATGAGGAAAAGTCAACAGTGTTTGATAATTATTTACCTAGAAAGGCCACAGTG